ATAAATATAGGTTCATTTATTTTATTTCATTTTCAATGAAAGTAATAGCTAAAAGAAAGCATATTCAAAGTCTAGTTTCTTTTTTTTTTTTTTTAAGTTTACTGTAAGACTTGTGTGCCTGTCTGAGAGAGCGAGCGAGAGAGAAAATGAGAAATCATCCCTAGGGATGGGGAGGGGCAGAGGAGGAAGAAAGTGAAAAATCACCCCCTGAGGGGGGGCAGATACACCACAAGCCTTTCTTCATTCTCCTCTTGGGGTTTGGGTATGCACGCACATCCACCTGGCATGTCTTTCAATCCTCTGGGACTCAGACTGCTCAGTTGGCCATAAGGACTTCAGCTCCCTTAACCTCCATGCCACCTGCTGGCCCTCTGTATATCCTGTTCCCACCGATTAAACTTCTATTATCTTTCTGCTTTCTCAAATAAATAATTTTTAAAAATTTAACTCAATTTGTCCACTTATTTTAATTAGACCAGAGAGGGACAGAGAGAGAGAGAGAGCGGGAGAGAGAAAGTGAGAAAGCAAGCCTCCAGATCTTACACTTGAACCACAGTCAGCCATATGGGAGTCCGGTGCCCTTAACCACCACACCACCTCCCAGCCCTTTCATTTTTTTTGTTTTTAAAATATTTCTATATTTTATTCTCCTTTTTGGATATATATAACTCTCCCCAACTTGCCTTTTTCATGTAATAATATATTGTGGAGATCATTGTATACCAGAATTAGTATAATCTTTTTTATTTTTTAAAGTGTCATAGTCCCCTATAGTGTGGATAAACCATAATTTATTGAATCTATTCCATATTGTTGATCATTTGGATAGTTTCCATTCTATTGCAGTGATTTTTTTTTTGCATATGTCTTCTCATAATTTTGCTAGTATAACTTAGAGAGAGTCCTAAGTAAGTTTTTAGGAGAATATGTTTTCTTTTTCTCTTTTTTTTTTTTTTTTTTTGGAGAGGTTTTTGCTGTAGGGCGCGTGCGCTCACCAGACAGAGAGACAGAGGGACAGAAAGCGAGAAATCACCCCCCAGGGGGGATGGCCACGCCACAATCCCTTCTCCTCCATTCTCTTCTTGGGATCTTGGGCACGCACGCACACGCGCCCGGCCTGAGTTTAAGCCACCAGGTCTGGGACTCGAACCGTGGTCGACTATGTGGGAGTCCAGCGACATAGCCATTATGCTTACTGCTGGTCCCAAGGAGAATATATTTTAAGTTTTATTGACATAATTAGCATTCTATACAATTTACTCATTTGAAACATTTATCAATTCAAGAATTCATCAATTTTGATATATCCACAGATACAGTCAACCTTCACCACAGTCTATTTTATTTTATTTTATTTATGTATCTCTTCCATGAGAGAGAGAGAGAGAGACCACCTGCTACAGGGTCTTTATGCCATCATCTAGGACCCCCCGCCCCCAACCCCGTGAGTCAGCCCAGTTAGAGGCATACTTCAGGTGTAGCCAGTGTGCTTAGGAAAACTGTGGTTTCAAACCAAGGACCTTTTCCATGCGGCTCCCATTGTATCACCACAGCACCACCTACTAGGCCTTTACCACAATTTAAGAATCTTTTTTCTTTCTTTCTTTTTTTTTTTTTTTGGAGAGTTTTTTTGCTATAGGGTGCGTGCACTTGCCAGAAAGAGAGAGACAGAGAGACAGAAAGCGAGAAGTCACCCTCCAGGGAGGATGGCCATGCCACAGTCCCTTCTCCATTCTCCTCTTGGGATCTTGGGCACACACTTACACGCGCCTGGCGTGAGTTTAAGCCACTGGATCCGGGGCGCCAGTCACGGTCAACTACATGGGAGTCTAGCCACATAGCCATTACGCTAACTGCTGGTCCCAATTTTAGAACATTTCTATCACCTCTGAAAGAACTCCATACACTTTAACTGTTACCCTGCTCTCTATAGCCCCATGGCTACCACTGATCCTTTTACCGTCTCCAAAGTTTTTTGCTATTTTCAGATTCTTTTATAGTAGGAATCAAATAGTATATACATAGCTTTTCGAAAAAGTATTTCTCTTTTCTTTGAAGATATTTTTGTTAGGTATAGAATCTGAGTTTTTGTTTTTTTTTTTTCAGTGAAGGTAACAGTTATTGTCTCTTGACTCATATATGAGTTATTTCAAAAAGTTTATGGAAAATGGGATTTAAAGCTCAAGTTTATTTTGGTGCAAAATTCTTTTTTGGAATTTTGGCATACTTTTTTCCTACGATATACATTTTTTATGAACTTTTGAAGACCAGCTTTTTCACAAGAAATCTGTTGCACTTACACATTTATTTTTTTTCCTTTCACTGGCATTAATTTTTTTTTCTTTTGGTTTTAATGGTCTGAATATGATACGTCTTGGTGTTTGTTTTTTCTTCTTTAGTTGCCAAGAGTATGTGCATGCTTATGTGAAAGAAAGAGAGAGAACTCTTTAATGGAGCATGGTCATGCCACAATTATTTTTCCTCTGTTTCTTCATCCTGTCAGGGTTTGGAGCATGCATGCACATGCCCCTGGCGTGTTTTTCAAGCCAGGGGCTGGTATTTGAACTGTGATCAGCTATGTGGGATCCAGTTGCTGATGTACTGTGTATAACCTGTGTGTTGCATTTAACCTCTGGGCTACAGGGCTAGTCTTATCTTTGTGTATTTTTATTGTATTTTTCCTTTTAAGGGTTCTCTGAGACTTAGGGATGTAGTTTGATGTCTTTCATTATTTTAACCAAATTTTTGGAAATTTTCTTTCCAAATATTTCTTCTTCCCTATTCTCTCTACTGGAGTTTTAGGGCATGATAGGCAATTCAATATTCTTCCATTGCTTTTGAGTGCTTTCTCCGTCTTTCTCCTTCTCTCCCTTTGTATTTGTATTTCAGTTGGTTACCTCTTTACTGATTCTTCTCTGTGTCAAGTGGGTTGATGAACTTCTCAAAAGCGTTCTTAGTCTTTTTAACATGCTTTCTGATTTTATAGTTCTTATCATTTGAATTGAACTCTGTCTTAATGGTTTTTATATCTCTGTTGAAATTCTTCATTTATTTATGCATATTGTCTACTCTTGTAACTCAAGCCTTTAATATATTAATTACGATTATTTTCAATTCTCCAACTTATGGCTCCAACTTCTGGATTATCTATGTAATTTGTTCTAGCACTTGCTTTCCCTTAGATGTGGAATTTTTTCCCCCTTTTTTTAGGTCTATCATATAGAAAATCATAATTTTTAATTGAAAGTTTGAGTGCATTTCAGACTTTAAGACTAAGTTAAATAGGATTTATACTTGGAAATGGCCTCCTTCTTTTTGTCTAAAGCTTATAGTGAGGAGCTGTAAAATCAAGCTGGTCAGTAATTGAGTTACCTTTAGTTCATAGTTGCATCAGAGTCCTCTAGCACTTGATTAGTTTGAGGGAGAGATTTCCTCACTGTTTCTGCTAACCCTTGCATTTTAGGCTTTTTGTATTAGGTCGATGGGAAAGTCATGACATACTTTTCGATTTTTTTCCCCCTTATGCAAAAATGCATCCTGACTTTCCTGACAACTCAATATTTTCCTGTGGTTTATAGAGGGTTTTTCCTTGATGTTCTTACCCCTTCCCCAATGGTAGACTACTGTTTCTCATTTTGTGCTTGCAGACCTGGTTTTGGAGAGTGGGGCATTCTGTTTTCCTGGTCTTGCTTTTGGTCTTAGGATGCTTTTTTGCTCCTTAGTCTTAGGGTGAAGAATGATTCAACAGTGTGTCCCTCCCTTACTGGGAGCCTTTCATTATCTAGACCCAGGATAGCATTCAGCTAATTCTTCTAAGGTAGAAGGCTTCTATCATCTATCTGTTTGTCTATCTATCTGTATTTTTTGTGGGGGCGGGAGGTGGGTTGTTAACAATGGTGAATTTTACCTATGCTCTGGGGCAACTTTAATATCCTAGCTTCCGTAGTTTCAAACTATTTCTTACAGGGTAAGGGTACTTAACAAGGCAAGCTGCCTGCCTTTCCTATAGAAGCAGCTGTTTCTTTCCTCCAAACCTATATTTCCAAGAGATACTTTTCCCATTCTCTAGCCCATCTCTTAGTCTCAATTACTGAGTGTCTAGGGGAGGTGTGTGGAGAAAATTTTACAAGCGGGTGTGAACTAGAGACTGCAAGTGGGTACACACTCTCCTTGTATCTGTATTTTCATGGTAGTCCATACCTAGCTAGTAACAATTTTAAGTATAGCTAAATTTGTCTTACCCATTTGTATTACAGCTTCATTTCCTCCTATCCTGTCACCTGTGACCTATGCTTATGTCCCATGTCCTGGGCTAGTTTGTTATTCTATAACCTCAGCTTTCTTTTGGATTCAAAAATAGTTAGGATGTTATAGATTTTTTTCTTGTTACAGTAGATGTGGTGTTTTCTTCTAGTGTCTACATCCTGTACAGAAGCTGAAATATTTCTTTAGTTAAAAACTCTTTTTAACTATTTCATTTAGGAGACGTTTCAAAGTTATAGGAATATTATAAATATAGTCAGTGAATTCGGTAGCCTTTGTGTAATTTACATGTAATTTACTAGTTATTAACATTTTGCAAATGTGCTTAAACACTACCTTACTGCATGTTTACAAATTAGTATTATTGTTATTATTGTTCAACCACTTGAGAATAGGGTATCCCAGTTTAATGACTGGTTCAGGGGCTGGTCTTCATTGTCCTTTTTTTTAAGGAATTATTTTATTTAACTTTATTTAATTTGATCAGAGAAGAACAGAGTGAGAGCAAGAGCAAGAGGGAGAGGGAAAGTGATAATGCAAGCCACCAGGTCAGGGACTGAAACCATAGTCAGCCCTGTGGGAGTCCGGCACCCTTTAACCACCACGCCACCTGCTTGCCCCATCAGTGTATTCTTTTAAACCTTATATAATACTTTTTATATGTCAAAAATTATATATTGATTAATCATAGTATGTACCAGTAATTTATATTAATAAAAACGTCTTTTTATCCGTAGGTATCATTAATGGGATTGGAAATTTTAAGTGCCTTTGTGGACAGATTATCAACACGATTTAAATCCTTTGTAAAAATGGGTAAGTTTATTTTATTTAAAAATGATTGTACAATTTGACATAGTGAGTTTTTTCTTAGTTTTTCTTTAACAGAATTTGTTGTCTGTTAATTCAAAAATACAATTTTGTACACCTCTGAAATCTGCTACTTAGTATTTTAGTGTTTTCCCTAGAGAAAAGATTTTAAAGCTATATTAAGTAGATAATTATATCCTGCGTGAAGCAAAAAGAGAAGAAGATAAAGCCAAACTTGTTAAACATAATATACTATTAATAGATTTTTACTTCACATTCTCAAATTTTTTTTACCAGTTCTTAATTACTTTTTTGTAAAATGCTAAAGTTTACATGTAACTTGCAGTGCCATTTTTCTGACTATTTATGGGAATATCCTTTCATTGCCAGTCTGTTGACTAGTGTTTTATAAAATATAATAAAAATAAATTGCAGCACAATGAAATGAAAAAAAAAAAGGCCAATTTTTTATTACTAGATTCAACAACCAAAATTGCTTTGGTTAGATTGCTTCAAAAACACATCATAAACACTCAATTTCTTTATTGACAGTATACTGGTTAATTCTGGACTACTGGCTTGTACTTTGAATAGTACTTACGATATATTTGTAGTGTACTACGATATGCTAGTGTATTGCTCATCTTTTTATAATAGTTAAGGTGACAAAGTTGGTTCAGACTTGTTTTCCAAATCTGAGTGAATTTCATGTGGCTTCTGAAATGCTTTATAACTGGAGTTGGTCCTTTTATATGGGAGCATGTAGATGAGTAACCTTAGATGTAGTGATTTTCTTTTGTGGCTTAATACTCAGAATGTCATTGAGTTATCATGGTTACTTTCAAATATCTTTGGTTAACTTTTTCTTTTATGTCTGTTATGCTGCCAATTTATGTCACTCTCTTATTTATTTATTTTTAATTTATTTATTTTACATTCATTCACTGAACATCATCACACCATACAAAATGCAATTCCCTATCCAGAATACACTGTATGGTGGCTTAATCATACATGTTATCTTCAACAAATAATTTTACATTTGTTTCTTGTATATTTTTTCTTTTCTTTTCTTTTTTTTTTTTTTGATACCCTATTTCTCACCTTTTGCCATTTCCCACCCTCCTCCCATCTCCCCTTTTGCCATTCCCCCCCCCCCTCCCACACTCTCTGGTATCTACAGTTGCTTTCCATTCCTTCCCCACCGCCACATTTTATTGAGTCACAAAAGATCTTAATTAATCTAAATACTTTCAATAGCAAGTTCAACTGATATATACATATCTGTGAACACATTCCTGACTTTAGGCATGAAACTCAATAAGTAGAATGAATATACTATAAAGTAGCACCTAGCTGAGGTGATATAGCTTACTGTGGTCATTAAATAGGTATTTTTTAATATATTTTTTAATTTAAAGAAAAGCAGTTTTAGCTTTAATAAAATCAAAACATGTTAAGAGAAATTTGCTCAAGACTTAAAGCCAGGAAACAGGTTAGGATTCTGTTCAAATAGTAGGTACATGAACCTATCCACAGCTCAAGAAAAGACAAAAATCCTTAAATCCGGAAAACAAAGCATAGAAGAAAATCAATAATGTTTTAGTCAAAAGTCATAAAATTCTATTTCTCCAGTTCAGCCTCATATACTTTATCTTCTGTTGTGATCCTATTTATCTTCTGTTTTGGACCTATTTTTCCATTTAAATTCTAGAAGATAACATTCAATACCGGACTTGTCCCTACCATTAAGTTGGCCATTTTCTTAGTTGTTTTAGAAGTCTTATTTCTGTGTGTCTATAGTTAGTTTTCCTGGTATAACAATCCCTTCAGAACTTCTTGATGAGCTGGTCTGGTGTTAGTAAATTCTTTCAGGTTTTGTTTACCTGAGAATGTTCTTGGTCTTTTCTTCCCATATGAAGGATAATTTTGTTGGTTATAGTATTCTTGGTTGAAATTGTTTTTCCCTTAACACTTTGAATATATTTTTCCATTCTTTCCTTGCTCGCATTGTTTCTGATGAGAGTCTGGTGTTAGCCTGATGGGATATCCTTTGTAGGTAACTTGACATTTCTCTCTTGCCAATTGTAGTATTGGCTTTGGTCAATCTGTCTATAATTTCTTTTGAAGAAGATCTTCTTGGGTTGATTCTATGTGGGGTCCTTCGTATTTCTTGGGTCTGGATCTTTGAATGCCTCGCTAGGCTTGGAAAGTTTTCTTCTAGGATTTCATGGAATAGATTATCAATACCGTTAGTCTTTTACCTTCTGGGATGCTGATTATTCAGATGTTTGGACATTTAATGGTGTCTAGTATTTCCCACATATTATTCTCTCTCTCTCTCTCTCTCTCTCTCTCTTTTCTGGCTATTTTCTCAGTCTTCTCGGAGAGTTTTTCTAGGGCAGAGATTCTGTCTTCTGCATCTGAAATTTGATCTTCTGTATAATCTAGTCTGCTTTTAGTACTTTCAAGGGGGATTTTGATTTCCTGTATTACAGCCTTTATTTCTAACAGTTCTGTTTGATTCTTTTTTATGATGTGTATTTCCTCTTCAGATGGTGCAAGAAATTCCTCACCTCCTGGAACTCCTTGGCTCTTTTCTCCTGCATATTTTGGAGTTCCTTATCTCTTCTCTTGCATCTCTGTTAGCTTCATTACTAAGAATATTCTAAATTCTTTGTCAGATGTTCCCATGAGTTCCATTGGATTGTCTGTGGATGAAGAGAAGTTGTTCTTTTCCCTTGGGGGAGAGATATTATCTTGGTTTCTCATATTTCTTGTCCTCTGTGGTGATTTCTGGTTATCTGATGGGTTACATGTTTCTTCCTAATTTCTTGAAGTTCAGTCTGAACATTCAGAGGCATGCAGGAGGAGGTGATCTGCAATCTCTGTGCAGTTCCGTTTTTCTCCCTTTGTGAGGCAGATTCAGGAATTGAGTAATATTCTGACCCTCGTAGTATTCAGCTGTTTGGCTACTGTTCACTTAGACCTCTCTAGATACTCAGTGCATAGAGATACTCTAGAATGGGGTCTGGAGGTTGAAGTTTCAGCAGAAATCTTCAGTAGTTGTCATCTCTGAAAGGAATTATTCACAACTCATATCCTTCTTTTATTTTCAGTTTCCTAGCTGCCCTTTCAGCAAAAGCATCTAGTGGGTTTCCCTATCTTTGTTATTTACTTTTGGTTAATACCTTGTTCCAATTCATTTTTGTATTAACATCTTTTGAAAAGAAACTTTTTAACTGTCAGTCTTTTGTTTAAAATCTTTGACAGTTGGGACCAGCAGTTAGCGTAATGGCTATGTCACTGGACTCTCACGTGGCCCACTATGGTTCGTGTCCCAGACCCGGGTGGCTTAAAACTCATGCCGGGTGCGTGTGCATGCATGCCCAAGATCCCGAGAGGAGAATGGAGGAGAAGGGATTGCGGTGTGGCCATCCCCCCTGGGGGGTGATTTCTCGCTTTCTGTCTCTCTGTCTCTCTCTTTCTGTCTTTCTGGTGAGCACATACACCCTATAGCAAAAACCTCTCCAAAAAAAAAAAAAAAAATCTTTGACAGTTTTGCTCAGCAAACATGTTTTATTTGTTCATGTGTTTTCTTAAAACATTTGAATCAGTGTTTAAAATTAGTAAGTTTTAAGTAACAATTCTTATTTCTGGCTTGTCTTGAGAAATTGGCTAGTGTGGCAACTCCGATTTGAAGCTATGTTGTATTCCTTTCACCTGGGTCATGAACTTTCCAATTCATAAGTTCCTCCCATCTTCTCTTGTTTCCTTGAAGCTGAGAATGTCAACTTATATAGAAAGACTATAATACCCATACTTTTTTTTTTTTTTTAGTTTCACTATAGGGCATGTGCACTCACTGGAGAGAGAGACAGAGAGAGAAAGTGAAAATCACCCTCGGAGGGATGACTGTGTTGCAGTCCCTTCTCCTTTGGTCTCCTCTCAAAATTGTGGGCACTGATACACATGCATCTGACATGATTTCCTAGCCACCATGTTTGGAGCTCCAACCATGAAGTTCGCCGTGTGGGATCCAGCTACCTTAGCATCCATTCTTGACCTGACAATACCATACTTTTTGTTGTTTTGTTAGAGATTTTTACTATAGGGCACATGTGGAGAGACAGAAAGACAGAAAGCAAGAAATCATCCCCACAGGGAAATGGCCACACTGCAATCCCTTCTCCATTCTCCTCTCAGGATTTTGGGTATGCATGCATGCACGTGTACCCAGTATGAATTTTAAACCTCCTGGTCCAAGACTCGAACAACAGTCAACTACTTGAGTCCAGTGTCTTAACTATTTCGCCATCTGCTGGTCCCTACAATACCATACATCTTAACTTAGCTCAGTTTTGGCATTTTCTATATCTCCCTGACATTCGTGTTCGTAACCCTGGCCTGTTAGATTATTAGTTGTTATAGAGAGCATTTTAGACTTGAGAGTAATTATAGGTATTGTGTATCTCCCTTATCTTACAGACAAGAGGAAGGCCAGAATGGTTTTGATATTTGTCTACTCGCATTTAGGCATTTGGAATATTAGGACTAGAATTCTAGGGGACTGACTCTTAAAAATGCCCTTCTTTAAAATCTTCTCTTATGCTGCCCCGATTTTCCACTTCCATCACCAAATATATCCCTTTTCTGTCTCTGTAGCTTTTTCCTTTCTCACTTACAGCAAGTGCTTTCTCTCTGCTCTAGCTAGTCAGAAATGTGCTTTTTTATTTTAGGTCTGGCTTAACTTGTTTATGCCTCTACTGTGTGATTATATCTTTTGGAAATTCTTTCCTCTTCCCTTTGGTTTTCTTTCCCTTTTAAAGATGCACTTCAGACTTTAATATCTGAGAGCTCTTGACTTAAGCTCACCCTACATTTTTTCTTTACTCTGTAGTCTTATACTTGTTATCACTTGAGAGTCAATCTATTGATAGTATAATAGCAAAATTTTATCACAAATATGCTAGCATTTGGTGACTACTTTTTACTCATTCGCCAGGCTTATCTAATTTACGTATATGAAAGACTATCTTCACATTGTTTCTAATTTGTATAACAGCTCTGAGAGATGAGCAGGGTATCTGTATGCTCTTAAAGAGTCACAGAACTGAACTAAGAGTCTCAGAGTTAGCTTTCTTATTTTAGCCTTGTCAAGAGTCTTAGTCAAACAATTAAGGAACCTTTCTGTAAAAAAAAGAAAAAAAAGGAGGGGCCAGGAGGTGTCGTGGAGGTTAGGACACTGGATCCCACATGGCTGACTGCATAGTTCAAGTCCTGGACCCAGCAGCTTGAAAATCATGCTGTCCACGTGTGTGTGCGTGCCCAGAATTCCAAAGAGAATGGAAGGGAGGGGACTGCAGAGTGACCATCCCCTTTGAGGGATGTTTTCTCAACATTTCAATCTCCCACCACTTCCTGCGAGCACGCATGCCCCATAGCAAAAGTAAAATAAGACAAAAGCAGACCCAGGCCTCCACTGGCTCAGAGCAAAGAAGGTGGTATAGCTGTAATATCAAAATAGAGACCAGAGGATTTTTTATTTTGAACATGCAAGATGTTGATAGTGATGATAGCAATATTTTAGAGTGCTTCCTCTGTGCTCTTTATTCTGAGTTTTATTTTCATTTTCAGTAATCTTCTGAAGTCAATACTGCTACCGACACTTATAGATGAGGAAACAGACAAAAAAAAAAAAAGTTTAAATAACGTGTTTCAAGGTCACACGCCTAGTAAAATCTCACTAAGTGGTAGTGTTAATTTAAGGGATTACAAGAAGAAAATTTTTTTATTTTTGGAGAGGTTTTTGCTATAGGGTGCTTGTGCTCACCAGAAAGACAGAGACAGAGAGACAGAAAGCGAGAAATCCCCCCCCAGGGGGAATGACCATGCCGCAATCCCTTCTCCTCCATTCTCCTCTCGGGATCTTGGGCACTCATGCACACGCACCTGGTGTGAGTTTAAGCCACCAGGTCCGGGACTTGAACTGCGGTCGACTATATGGGAGTCCAGTGACATAACCATTACGCCAACTGCAGGTCCCACAGGAAGATAATTTGACTATATTTTTTGCCTTACAAACTGACTTTAGAAGCTGTTTCCTTTGAATTCTACCTCCCTCTTGTCTGTCCACCTTTCTCCTATTCCCCCAGTTACAGGATGGGATTTTTTTTGAGGCAAAGTGTTCATTTACAGTTAAAGGAACCCTGATTATGAAAAATATCTGATAATAAACTCTAACTTGCCTTTCCTGCTTCCATTTGTGAATAGTGCCTAAGTCTAGGACTTGTTAGAGAAAACCCCAACCCCTATTGGCTTCGGCTTTTAGTTTTTGTCTGTCAGTTGAGGACTATGTCATACTTATGTAAGAGTGCATAAGCATGTGTAATTTAAAAAATAACTATAAAACCAATACCTGATGATGCCCAAAGTCAAGAAACTAGAACTTTGCCAGTTCTTCATATGTCTCCTTTCTGTGCTCTACTTCTTCTACCAGAGGTAACCTTGTTATGACCTTTGGGATAGTTCTTCTTTTGCTTGTCTGTAGAGTTTGACATCTATATGTATTTTTAAGTAGAATAATATTAAGTTTTGCCTTTTTAAAAAATTACTATAAGTGGTTATCATACTGTATGTATTCTTTTGATACTTGCTTGTCTGTTATTTTTATTTATTTATTTATTTATTTATTTTTGTGCTCTTTATTCTGAGTTTTATTTTCATTTTCAGTAATCTTCTGAAGTCAATACTGCTACCGACACTTATAGATGAGGAAATAGACAAAAAAAAAAAAAGTTTAAATAACGTGTTTCAAGGTCACACGCCTAGTAAAATCTCACTAAGTGGTAGTGTTAATTTAAGGGATTACAAGAAGAAAATTTTTTTATTTTTGGAGAGGTTTTTGCTATAGGGTGCTTGTGCTCACCAGAAAGACAGAGACAGAGAGACAGAAAGCGAGAAATCCCCCCCCAGGGGGAATGACCATGCCGCAATCCCTTCTCCTCCATTCTCCTCTCGGGATCTTGGGCACTCATGCACACGCACCTGGTGTGAGTTTAAGCCACCAGGTCCGGGACTTGAACTGCGGTCGACTATATGGGAGTCCAGTGACATAACCATTACGCCAACTGCAGGTCCCACAGGAAGATAATTTGACTATATTTTTTGCCTTACAAACTGACTTTAGAAGCTGTTTCCTTTGAATTCTACCTCCCTCTTGTCTGTCCACCTTTCTCCTATTCCCCCAGTTACAGGATGGGATTTTTTTTGAGGCAAAGTGTTCATTTACAGTTAAAGGAACCCTGATTATGAAAAATATCTGATAATAAACTCTAACTTGCCTTTCCTGCTTCCATTTGTGAATAGTGCCTAAGTCTAGGACTTGTTAGAGAAAACCCCAACCCCTATTGGCTTCGGCTTTTAGTTTTTGTCTGTCAGTTGAGGACTATGTCATACTTATGTAAGAGTGCATAAGCATGTGTAATTTAAAAAATAACTATAAAACCAATACCTGATGATGCCCAAAGTCAAGAAACTAGAACTTTGCCAGTTCTTCATATGTCTCCTTTCTGTGCTCTACTTCTTCTACCAGAGGTAACCTTGTTATGACCTTTGGGATAGTTCTTCTTTTGCTTGTCTGTAGAGTTTGACATCTATATGTATTTTTAAGTAGAATAATATTAAGTTTTGCCTTTTTAAAAAATTACTATAAGTGGTTATCATACTGTATGTATTCTTTTGATACTTGCTTGTCTGTTATTTTTATTTATTTATTTATTTATTTATTTTGAGAGGTTTTTGCTATAGGTCGCATACGCTCGCCAGAAAGACAGAGAGACAGAAAGCGAGAAATCACCCCCTGGGGGATGGCCACGCCATAATCCCTTCTCCTCTACTCTCCTCTTGGGATCTTGGGCACGCACGTACACGTGCCTGGTGTGAGTTTAAGCCACTGGTTCGGGGACTCAAACCGTGGTCGACTACATGGGAGTCCAGCGATACGGCCATTATGCCAACTGTTGGCCCCAGTTTGTCTTATTTTTAACTGGGCTCAGGGGTGAAAATTTTAAAACAATTTCTTTACCTCACAACTCTTCATTAATGGAAACGGTTGCTATTCGTAATCTGTAAAATGTAGTTTGTGATAGAAGAGAGTTATTAACATTTACTCTTTTCTCTCCTTTCTCTTGAAGTGATTGTAGCTTTAATAGACCGAATGGGAGATGCCAAAGACAAGGTTCGAGATGAAGCTCAGACTCTGATATTGAAGTTGATGGATCAAGTAGCGCCACCTATGGTAGGGCTACATTTTACTTTTATTTACTTTTTAAACTTTACTTATTTTATTTCTTTCATGAGAGACTGTGAATAAGAGGATATGAGAGACATGCACCCAGTACATGGTTTGTCATGCCATGTTCCTCTCCCACAGCCTTCTACCAGCCAGGATCGTGAGTCCATGAGTCTGTGGGTGTTTCAGGTCTGCCGAGGCCGAACCCACTTGGCCGTGTAGCTCCAGCATTGCAGAGCCACATGCTACTGCCTGTGCTACCATAGGCGGGCCAGGCATACGTTTTACAATTTGGACTTTGCCAGTTAATAATGAGCCATCGTTAGTAGTCACAATAAGTCATTAAAGCGACAGAGGGCATGAAAGCTGAAATTTTGTTTGTTTGTTTGTTTGTTAGAGAGATTTTTGCTATAGGATGTGTGCACTTGCCAGAGGAGGGAGAGAGAGAGACAGAGAGAAAGATAGAAATCATCCCCTAGGGAGGATGGCCATGCCACAGTCCTTTCTCCTCCATTCTCCTTTTGGGACTTCGGGCATGCACGCACAGGCACCCGACATGAGTTTTAAGCTGCCGAATCCAGGACCTGAACTGCAGTCGACCACGCGGGAGTTCAGTGATGTAACCATTACACAATCTGCTGGTCTCGAAAGCTGAAATTTTAAGCAGTGAATTGTACTAATGTTTCCGAGCAGTTGAAATGTGAAGTACAGTGTCATTTTTTTTACTTTCTGTTTTTTTCTTTTCTTTGTTTTTCTTATACTCTATGCTTACCAGAGAGAGAGAAAGTGAGAAATCATCCCCAAGGGAAATGGCCATGCCATAGTTCTTTGTACTCTCGAGATTTTGAGTATTCATTAGCTTGCACCTGGTGTGATTTTCAAATCGCTGGATCTAGGATGCAAACTGCATCCCGATGCAAACCATCATGCCACTGGCTGGCACTGGCTTTTTAAAATGAAGTTAATGCATAGATTTAAGTGAATTGATAGTATATTGATTATTTTATGCTTCAGGATTTTTTCAGTCTTTTACTTGCAAATTACTAGATGTTCAGTTAAAAAGTAATTTTGATGGACTAGCAGATGGTGTAGCAGTTACATCACTGGATTGCCATGTGGCTGACTGTGATTCGAGTCCCAAACCTGTTGGCTTATAACTTAACACTGGGCACATGTGCATGCGTGCTCAAGATCCCAGGAGGAGAATGCAGAAGAAGGGATTGCAGTATGGCCATCCCCCCTGGGGGTCATTTCTCACTTCTTTCTCTCTCTCTCTGGTGAGCACATATGCCTTATGGCAAAAACCTCTTTAAAAAAAAAAGCTAATTTTGAGAAATACTGATTATTATATTAATTTCTGCAGTTCTTATAGAAGCAAGTAGAAAAAATTTTAACAGGTGTTTACTAATTATATAAGATATATTTTATATGACAGTAACCTGTGTTTTAAGAATACGAATACAGTAGAAATGATTTGACCTTACAGAGGTATTTTAAAAGGAGAACAATATATAAATGCTATAATGCAAAATTATTTTAAGATTACCTTCAGGCTATGTGTATAAGGTGTGCATAGAACGTAAATGAATTTGATGCTTAGAGTTAGGTCCCATCCCCAAGATACCTCATTATGTGTATGCAAATATTTTAAAAGCAGAAATCAGAAATATTTCTGGTTCCAAGCATTTTGGATAAAGAGTATTCAACCTATAGTAGAACTGCATGAAGACTCCAGAAAGAGTACTGAATCCAGAAAGAAGAGTGGGAGTGTATGTGCACACCTATGTGTGTATGAATTTAGTGAATGGTAAAGGTGGTATTTCCAAATGAGGAGGCAGAATTAATTAAGACAATTAGCTATATGTTTAGATATGAAAGATTGGATTACTTGTTACACCAAATCCAAATAATTGCTTTAGATTATTTGTACAAATTTATTTATGCCTTTTCCAAGAGGAAATTCTAGGAGGTAGCTATAAAATGACTTGTCCAAAGATCTTTTTGTATTTGGACCCAGTATTAAAAGAAGAAAGCCTTAATTATGAAATGTTTAAAAGGCCTGCTCCATGTGACAGTCTGTTCTAGTTGCTAGGCAGTGTTGGACCTCTTAAATGCTTTCTGGACTACTGGGCTTATAATGGTAGTGTTGTTACTGAAGTTTTTTAAAGCGTAGAAGAAATCCCGCGTCCTTGGAAATCCCAAGCATTTTAGGTATTGGACGTGGTCTTTCAGAGAAATCTTTTGAAATCTTGCATGATAAATACATAAAAATTAGAAATACAATTAAATCATTAGCAATAGGTGAAAATGATTGCAGTATGAATTTGGCTTAAAAAAAATGTAAGTAGAAATTAGTGGACAGTCTGATGAAAAAATCTAGACCCAGTGATGTTGGTAATAAGGTTGTGAAGAGAGAAAAGATTATAGCATGAATACGTTAATGTTTTATTATAGCTGTTTACTTTTTTTTTTTTTCGAATAGTACATTTGGGAGCAGTTGGCTTCTGGTTTTAAGCACAAGAATTTTCGATCTCGAGAAGGTGTTTGCCTGTGTCTTATTGAAACTTTAAACATGTAAGTTTCATTACTATTAAAAACAGCCTTATGTTTTTACATTTCTCTAAAAAACTTCCATTTCACAACGTCAAGAAAAGCTAAGGAAATAACAAATGTGAAGTAATTATTAATTGATCTCTGGCGCAAGGTTTTTTACATCTACTGTTAATTTTTTGTGTCATTCAGTTTTTATTTTTAAATTAGCAGTTATTAATAATTTCTTTAATTATCTCAACAATAACCACCCAAAATATGAGGGATCTTCATAAAGTTCATGGAGAATGTATATTACGAAAAAACTGGATGGAGTTTAAATGATTTTTTTTAATCAAAGCCAACTTGTATTTAAAAATAAAATTGCCAGAAAGCGTATGCTCTTGCTAGAGAGAGAGAGAGAGACCAAGAGAGGAAGAGAGAAAGAACCCTCCAATGGGACGTGGTTACACCACCTTCCCTTCGCATCTCCCTCCCATTATGATTTTGGGCTTGCATGCACGTGTGTCTGACCTGTTTTTCTAGCCCTCGGGGCCAGGATTTGAATAATCAGATTAGACATGGGGGCTCCAACCCCCTAAACCATTGGACCTTGGCACCAGTCCTCAACTTGTACTTTAATTGCATTCCTCCATGAACTTTTTGAAGTCCTCTTGTGGATGGCATAGATCTGATATGTGATAACTTAGAATCTTTTTCTGTTGTTTATCTAATTCGGGATTATCTGTAATTCAGTGATACTTCACATATTGTAGCCGTTGCCCTTAACCCCACTACCCTTTTGCCAGTTGGCCCTCGGCTCCCTTTAGTAGCGTGGGTGGCATTCAGAAGTAGATGGAAGCAGACTCCCGGGTGACGTAGGCAGCAGGTCTGGTAGCAGTGTGTAGAGCTCTGACACTATCAGTGCCAGAGTTAAGAGTAGTCTGAAGAAATGCAAACTGAGGTTTTTGTTTTTATTCTGGATTTTTTTTTCAGGTTCTGTGTAATATTTCCCAGTAGTGTTCCTTTCCTTAACTATGTTTTCATTTATCTTCTTTTACTGCTCTATGGTCCTTTCTACCATCTAGAGCTTGTAAGTGCATTTAGACCCCACAACTTTTGTGGTTTTTGGCTTTCCTGTCATTTGCTTTCAACCTATGACCTCATCAGAATACCAGTCACTATAAATAAAGATCTTTTAATGAATTAATTTTATTGGAATGCAAATTTGAGACCCATAGTCTTAAAAAAAAAATCATTGTATCAAAAGCAAAAGCTGATTTTCTTAAGTAACTGATAGGTTGCTAAGTTAAGAGTGCCATTGGTTGAACACTTTGCCTTGTTGGATCACGTGTTGCTAGTTCTCAGTGACAGTCATGATTATTCAAGTTTGCGTATTTCACATTGTTTAAAATTATTTTTGCTTGTGTTCATACATGTTATAACGATGTGTGCCCATCCTCTCCATATTTGTTGTATTGATATAGACAAGAAGAAGGTGTACTCTGACTAAAACCAAATTCTCTCTTTTGTTTTTCCTCAAATTACATTTAGTTTTGGGGCTCAGCCACTAGTCATCAGCAAGCTGGTACCACATTTGTGTATCCTATTTGGAGATTCCAACAGTCAGGTAAAAATTTACTTATATCAAGTATTGACTCGTTGTTTGGTTACTCCTTCTATACTAATGCTCTTACCCCATTTTTTAAAAAGAAGATGGTGGAGGGGGAAGTGGCGAAATCAAGATTTTAACCTCATGTTTTGTTTTAAAATCCACCAAGTTAGTTAGTTAAAAGTTAGTTTTAAAAAACACATTATAGTGGGGACAGCAGATGGTATAGTGCTTAATGGGCGGGACTGTCACATGAGTGACCACGGTTTGAGAGCTGGACTCTTAGGCTTGAAATTCACACTGTGTGTGTGTGTGTGTGTGTGTGTGTGTGTGCCCAAAATTCCAGGAGAAAGGAGGAGACGCAATTGCAGCGTGGCTCTCCTCCCTGGGAGGTGATTTCTTACTTACCCTCTCACTTTCTTTCTGTTTCTATGGTGAGTGCACATGCCCTATAGCAAAAACCTAAAAAAAAAAAAAAAAAGTAAATAAAAAATGAAAAACACATGATATTTATATAAATTGCTAAAGTTTGTCACTTCTTTGGTATTATTAAAAATAGATGGTGGGAACCAGCAGTTAGCGTAATGGCTGTGTCGCTGGACTCCCACGCAGTCGACCGCGGTTCGAGTCCCGGACCCGGTGGCTTAAAACTCACGCCGGGCACATGTGCGTGCGTGCCCAAGATCCCGAGAGGAGAATGGAGGAGAAGGGATTGCAGCGTGACCATCCCCCCTGGGGGGTGATTTCTCGCTTTCTGTCTCTATGTCTCTCTCTGTCTGTCTGGCGAGCGCACGCGCCCTACAGTGAAAATCTCTCCAAAAAAAAAAAAAAATAGATGGTAAGTTCCTAGATGTCTAGTTCTTGAGTTTGAGAGATTAAAAAAGAGTTTAGATTCCCTTTTATAGTCCTCCTCTGTGTTAATTGTAGAGATAGGTTGTCAGCTTCCTTTTTTTGATTTTGAATATGGCTTTTTTTATTCTCCAAAAAGTGCAGGGAGTACCTTAAAGTAGGTAGTCTTTGCACTGACACTATAGGGGAAGCGGAAGCTTTAACAAAGGCATAATCTGCTGCTTGGCTTTACAGATAGAAGAAACCTGAGTATTAGCCAGGGAAGGCCAGGAGAGGCTCATTTAGATGCTCCACAATTACAGCCAGTAATAGAAAGCACGCGGCTTTACCTCCTCTATAAAAGAATGAGCACAGAACGGCTCGCAGATGCAGTGATCTCCATCAGAAATGCCCGGTCTGCCCGACCCTTGCTTTTTCTCTGTCTGTCCTTTCTCAGTCCACAGCCCACTCGGATTGAGATGGCATACCATCTCTTCACCTCCAGGCCAAGGCGCTGGGCGCCCAAACATGGACCCAAGTACAGAAGAACTCAAATGATAAGGATAGTGGACACGCCTGAGTCCAACCGGAAATAAGAGAGTAAAGTAGGAACTAAGGAAAGTAGGAACGGAAGGAGTGCATTGAGAGTCGGGTGTAAAATGGGAAACACTCCGAGAGATATATGTATATTTAAGTGTTGTTCCGTGTAAGTATGAAAGTTAAGAGATTTGGAAAGCGAAGAGAGAAAAAAGTTAAGAGATGTTTAGTAGAGGGAGAGATTTAGAAGCTAAGAGATGTTTAGTAAAGAAAGACTTAGAAACCTAGGAAGTGTTTACTAAAGCAAGAAATTTAGAAAGCTAAGAGAAAAAAAGTAACAAAGGAGTCAGTTTGAAGTCAGGTGTAAAACCAGCTAGAAGCCAAGAGATTTAGAAAGCTAAGAAAGAAAAGTAACAATTGAAAGAGTCAATCTGGGACCTTCTGGCATAATGGCTATGTTGCTGGACTCCCATGTAGTTGACCGCGGTTCGAGTCCCAGACCCAGCGGCTTAAACTCACACTGGGCATGTGTGTGCATGCATGCCCAAGATCCCGAGAGGAGAATGGAGGAGAAGGGATTGCAGTGTGGCCATCCCTCCGGGGGATGATTTCTTGCTTTCTGTCTCTCTCTTTCTGGCAAGTGCCTACACCCTATAGCAAAAACCTCTAAAAAAAAAAAAAATCAATCTGAAGAAAAATAGGTATGTATAAATGTTGTTTGTTAAAGCTAGTATGTTTAAATGTTTGTAAAAGCTAGGACCAGTGAAGTGTATGGCAAGCAGTTAAAGAAACTAATAGAGTAAAACAAGAGAAAATGGATAAATTATGTGCTCAAATTAGGAAAAGAAAAGGGGGGAGTTACAGAGAGATCTTAAAGTAGAAACAGTCTTTGTGCTAAAAACTCTAACAAAGACATAATCTACTGCTTGGCCTTAGAGATAGAAGAAAGCGGAGTGTTAGAGAAGCCCAGGAGAGACTCGTTTAGATGCTCCGTAGCTTTGGTAATAGAAAGCACCGGGCTTTACCTCTCTTATTAAAGAATGAGCACAGGACGGTGACCATGGTGAGCTCTACCTGAGACGCCTGGTCTGCCTGACCCCTGCTTTTCTCTATCCTTTCTCTATCCACAACCTGCTTCCCCTCAGGGCCCTCCATCTCTTCGTTTCCAGGCTGAGAAACTTCATTAAACAGTAACTCTCTATTCCCCCCACCCCCCACCATCGCCTAACAACCACTACTTGACTTTCTGTCTGAGTTTGACCAGTGTAGGTACTTCATAGAGGTAGAGTCAGACCGTATTTGTCCTTTCGTGTCTGTCTTATTTCATATAGCATAATATCCTCCAGGTTCATCCACGTAGCATGTGTCAGAGTTTTCTTTCTTTTTAATTAAGGCTTAATATTGTTCCATTGTGTGTGTGTGTATCTTTTTTAATTAAGGCTTAATATTGTTCCATTGTATGTGTGTGTGTGTGTGTGTATTCACTATGTTTATACGTTTGTCTGTGGGTGATTATTTGGGTTATTAAGACCTTTTCACTATCATGAATAATACTTTTATGGCTATTGATGTAAAAATATGTTTGAGTCCAGACCACATTCTTGAAAAACAATTTTACACCAGGAAAATATATTAACTTTGGTCATTTATATTAATACAGTTGTTAACAGTTGCTTACACAACATTATTACAGACTTTTTAAAAATCCCAATTAGTAAATTTCATGTACTAGTTTCATAGATTTCTACTTACTTGTTTATAAAGAACTATTTATTTCATTTTATTCATTATTATTATTATCATTTTTTAAAAATTTGGAGACAGCCAGAGAGGGAAAGGGAAAATGAGAAAGCAAGCCACCAGGTCCAGGACTCAAACTATGGCCAGCCATGGGGGAGTCCAGCACCTTTACCACCATGACACCTGCTGGACCCGTAGTTTCTTATATTTCTATAAAACCTTCTTGTACTTGGTTTCTCTAGAATTATCTTGGCAAGTCCTCTTGGTTTTTTGCTAATGACATGCTATAATCTCTTATAACTAATTTGAAGCTTCAAATTGGTCTATAAGAGTAATGTTACCTCAAGATTAAGTGTTTTATTGTCTTGTATGTAAGTTCCCTAAGACACTCTGAATTCTTTGACAGGTGAGAGATGCTGCAATATTGGCTATAGTGGAGATTTATAGACATGTGGGAGACAAAGTGAGAGTGGATCTTTATAAGAGAGGAATTCCCCCTGCTAGGTAAGTCTTGCTAAAAAAGAGTTTTTTGTCACAAGTTTTAAATTCATTTGTTTACATATATGATATACATCTGTTATCTCCGTAGATTGTACATACTGCATAAATGAAATCATTCAGTGTCTGTCTTTCTGTGTCTGACTTATTTCACTTAGCATAATGTCCTCCAGTTCCATTCCTGTTGCCAATGACAGCAGTTCCTTCTGTTTTCAGCCTGTATAGCATTCCACTGTTTATATATACCATGTTTTCTTCATTCATTCATCTGTTGACTCATGGCCAGGTTTGTGCCAGTTCCACCCTGACCTTTTTACTGTTCAATTTCTTATTCTTAACATATTTTACTTCCTGTATCCAAGCACATGTAAGCCATCATTAAATATTTTACTGTATTTCTATAAGAAAAATTAATTTTTTTTGGTCACAACCACAGTATTATCAGCACATCTAAATTTTTCCCCCCTTTTTTGCTGTAGAATACATGCTCTTGCCAGAGACAAAGAGACAAAAGGGGAGAAAAAGAGTGAGGGAAAATGAGAAAGCATCCCCCAGGGGTTTGAACAGGCTGCAGTCCCTTCTCTCCTCCATTCTCCCTCTGGGTTTGAGGCATGCATGCACATGTACCTGGCATGTTTTTCAAGCTGCTGAGTCTGACACTCGAAGCACACAGTCTGCCATGTGGGATCCAGCTACCTTAACCACCACACTACCTGACTGGCCCCCATACCTCAAATTAAAAAAAATAACTTTGTGGGACCAGCAGTTATTGTAATGGCTATGTCGCTGGACTCCCACATAGTCAACCGCGGTTCAAGTCCCGGACCCGGTGGCTTAAACTCATGCTGGGCGCATGTGTGTGCGTGCCCAAGATCCCGTGTGGGGGCACCTCTCCCCGTTGGGGGGGGGGGGTGATTTCTCGCTTTCTGTCTCTCTGTCTGTCTGGCGAGTGCACGCTACCTATATCAAAACCCTATAAAAAAAAAAAAAAAACTTTGTAATATCAACTGTCTATTCAGAGTTCAAATTTCCAATTATTTCATAAATGTCATAAGTGTTTATATGCATGTATGTATATGTGTGTGTGTGTACATATATATATATATTTTTTTTTTTAATTGCCGGAGGGTGATTGTGCTTTCCGGAGGGAGGGAGACAGACAGACAGACAGAGACAGACAGACAAAGGGATGAGAGAGAGAATGCACCTTGCAGTGGGGGTGTGGTCACAGTGTGGGCCTTTCTTTATTATCTCTCCATCGTGTTGGGATTCTGCACACATGTACTGGCCCAGTATGTTTTTCAAGCTGCCAACACCAGGTAAAGAACTACATTTGATCACATGGGTTCCAGCTCCCTAGTCAGTAGGCCACAGGACTGGCCCTTCATGTGTTTTTAACAGTTTGAATTGAAATTCAAATAAAGTTCATACATTACAATTGGTTGATAGGCTTTTAAGTCTTTTTATATCTGTATACCCCAACAACACTCTTGTTTTCCCTTGCATTCTATTTGTTGAATAAACCAATGATTTATTCTGTACTGTTTCCTATGTCTAGATTTGGTGAATCTTTTGGGTGGTGTGACATAACATGCTTTTCTTTTCATGTCCTTTAAATTCATATTGGGTCTAGAGAGGTCCTAAAATTTTGAGGGGGTCCAAAAGTAAGACCTACTCTTTAGGAGCCTTGGGTTATCTTGAATTTCATTATATTTAGTTATCTCTTTTATCATTCAGATTTTTTTTTAGTACTAAAATTTTCAGATAAGATGATTGTCCAATACATACGCCTTTTTTTGACTTGTTCACTGTTCCCTCCCCCCACCCCGTGTGTGTGTGTGTAGATTTTCGCCCATGGGGTATGTGTGCTTACCAGAAGGAGATGGAGGGACAGTGAGATATCACCCCTCCATGGGGGTGGCCATGCCACAAACCCTTCTCTTCCATTCTCCTCTTGGGATTTTGGGCATGCATGAACACAAGCCTGGTGCGATTTTCAAGCTGCTGGATCTGGGACTTGAACCATCATGCCACCAGCTGCCTCCTTCCCCCCCCACTTTTTTTTTTTTTAAGTTTTTTGCCATTGGATGCTTGTACTTGCCAGAGAGGGACAGAGAGGGAAAGTGAGAAATCATTTCCTGAGGGGGATGGCCACGTTGCACTTCCTTCCTCTCCATTTTTCTCTGGGGGTTTTGGGCATATATGAACACGTGCCTGGCATGATTTTTAAACCGCTGAGTCTGGGACTTGAATTGTAGTCAACCTTGTGTCAGTCTAGTGCCTTCTTTCTAGCTCCTTTTTTTTTTTTTTTTTTTTTTTTTAATTTATTATAGGATGCAGGTATTTACCTGTGAGACATAGAGAGGAAAACTGAGAAAACACTTCCTAGGGGAATGGCCACACTGCATTCTTTTTTCTTCTTGGGATTTTAGGCATATACACATAAACGTAGCTGGTGTGCTTTTCAAACTACAGGTCTGGGACTTGAACTGTCAAATTGGCCATGTGGAAACTAGCTGCCTAAACCACCTCACCACCTGGCTGGCCCTATTCACTCTCTATTTCTGGGACTAACAATTTAATTAAAGTAAATTCCATGTAATTTTATATGAATGAATGAAATAATGTTTACATGCAAGGGGACTTCCAAAAGTTTGTGGAAAAATGGAATTAAAATGTGTTTACCTTGGTGCAAAAAATGTCAAGTTTATAGTCTTTTTTTGTTTGTTTGTTTTTTGCTATAGGGCGCATGCACTCGCCAGACAGACAGAGAGAGACAGAGAGACAGAAAGCGAGAAATCACCCCCTAGGGGAGATGGCCACGCCGCAATCCCTTCTCCTCCGTTCTCCTCTCGGGATCTTGGGCACACACGCACACGCGCCCGGCGTGACTTTTAAGCCACCAGGTCTGGGATGCAAACCGCAGTCGACTACAAGGGAGTCCAGTGACATAGCCTTTATGCTAACTGCTGGTCCCCATAGTTTTTTTTTAAATACAGGTTTTCCATGAAATTTTTGAAGACTCTCATGTGTGTTTGTGTCTGAGTGTATATATATGGATATATATGTACCTTACATTTATATTGAAATTATTTTTATTTTTCTTAAAGTAGACTTTATCTTTGAAGCATTTTTAGGTTCACAACCAAATGGAACATAGACATGCTTGCACCAACATATTCAGGGTCTCCTGTTGCAGACCTAGCATCTTCCACATGGATTAGCCTTACAGAGTGGTGTGTTCTGTCTGTGCCCCCATGCAGCCCTTGCATGTGTTCTTTTTGTGAAGTGTTTTTCTCAGGTCTCTTGCTCATTTTAGAAACTGTATTATCTGTCTTTGAAAATTTTATTTGTGGGACCACTAGGTGGCATGGTGGTTGGGATGCTGGATGCTCCCACATGGCTGACCACGGTTCAAATCCTGGACCTGGTGGCTTGCTTTCTCACCTTCTCTCTTTCTCTCTCTCTCCCTCTCTCTGTGTCTCTCTAGTCAAATTAAAAATGAATGAATGAATAAATAAAGTTAAATAATTTGAAAAAAAAAAAGCTTAAAAAAAAGGAAAATTTTATTGTAAAACTTTTTTTTATGTTCTAGGTTCAAGCCTTTGTCAACTATATATGTTTCAAGTATCTTTCCTTGCTCTGAGATTTTTTTACTTTCTTTTTTTTTTTTTTTTGAGAGTTTTTTTTTTTTCTTCGCTATAGGGCACGTGCCCTTGCCAGAAAGACAGAGGGAGACATAGAGACAGAAAGCGAGAAATCACCCCCCAGAGGGGATGGTCATGCCGCAATCCCTTCTCCTCCATTCTCCTCTCGGGATCTTGGGCACGCACGCACACACACCCGGCGTGAGTTTTAAGCCACCGGGTCCGGGATGCGAACCACGGTCGACTACTTGGGAGTCCAGTGACATAGCCATTACGCTAACTGCTGGTTCCCTTTATTACTTTCTTAATGATATCTTTTGATGTGTGTAGGTCTCTAGTTTTTCGTTTTATGTTTTTAAATTCTTAGCCTTTTTAAGAATTATTTTATTTATTTATCCATCCATCCATCTATTTATTTGTATATATTTGACTAGAGAGGGACAGAGTGAGCAAGAGAGAGGGAAAGTGAGAAAGCAAGCCTCCAGGTCCGGGTCTTGAGCTGTGGTCAGCCACGTGGAAGTCCAGTGCCCTTAGCCACAACACCACCTGCTGGTCCCCTTAAATTCTTGGTTTTAATATAATTCTGTGTGTGTGTGTTTGTGTGTGTGTGTGAGTAGATGTTTTTATGCCCTGTTTAAGAAATTTTTAATTATCCTAGGATCGAGAAGGTAATCTTTTGTACAATTTTAGTCAAATTTATATCTATAGTCCAACTGGAAAATTTTCTTTATTTTCTTTTTGTAAAAAGTATGAGGTGGGATTTATACTTTTTGTCCGTAAAAATAAACATTTTATCTAGTACCACTTATTGAAAGCATTTTTCTTCACGGTTTCCTATGTTTTAAATTAAATGTGAGGCTAGCCCATGGTCTGGTAATTAAAGTGGTTGGATCTCACCTGACTGACTATGTGGTTCAAGTTCTGGACCCAACAGCTTAAAAATATGCTAGGTGCATGTCCTGTCTGCTTAAAATCCCATAAGGAGGATGGATAGAGTAGAAGGGATTGTGGTTTAACTGTCCCCAATGGGGAGTGCTTTCTTGCTTTCCTTCTCTGTTTATCTATTTCTGGCAAGTGTATGCACCCTCTGGCAAAAATAAATGAAAACTGGCTCCATTACAAAAAAGAAATCGAGCATGGACTTATGTACTTAGGATTTTTGTATCTGTGCTCAAAATGACATTGGTCTTTTAAAAAAAATTTTTTTTAACTTAGAGTTTTTTGCCTTAGGGCAAGTGCACTCACCAGAGAGAAACAGAGACAGAGGGAAAGTGAGAAATCACTGCCTAGGGGGAATGGTTGCCCTGCAGTCCCTTCTCCTGCATATTCCTCCCAGGATCTTGGGCTCGTACGCACACACATCCAGTGTGTTTCAAGCCACCTGTTCCAGGACCCAAACTGCTGTTGGCCATGTGGGAATCCAGCAATGTAACTGCTACGTCATCTTCTGGCCCCTCCTTTCTTCTTGATATATGTTCTGTTAGTAACTTCATTTGTTAGAAGAATCTCTGTATTTGATTTTTTTTCTCCTATCAAAATCAACCTTGGGACCAGCAGTTAGCATAATGGCTATGTCGCTGAACTTCCAGATAGCCAACCGCGGTTTGAGTCCCAGACTCAGTCGCTTAAACTCACGCTGGATGCGTGTGTGTGCATGCCCAAGATCCCGAGAGGAGAATAGAGGAGAAGGGATTGCAGCGTGGCCATCCCCTCTGGGAGATGACTTCTTGCTTTCTATCTCTTTGTCTCTCTCTGTCTTTCTGGTGAGTGCACATGCTCTATAGCAAAAACCTCTTAAAAAAAAAAATCAACCTCATAGGGGTTTTTATCATAGGAAGGTAGCCAGGACTTGAATGTACTTACTGAATAAGCCAGTGAGTTATTAATCCTAGCCATTCTTTGTTATGCTTTCTCTTTCCTCTTAAGTGGCCAGTCACTTGGCAGCTGAGGACTCTGGATGCAGAGCAGTGACAGCTAGTGGGTGAGAAGCTGAAGGCTTCCCAACTCCAAGCCTGTTCTTTCTTCCAGTCTGAGCTTGTCCTTCCTAGTGGTGCTTCCCTAGCAGGTTGCAGGGAATGAGGACTCTCAGTCTACCCGACTCTGGGTTCATGAGCTTTGCTTTTCTAGTATATAGTGAAACTTTGCTTTTTAAGCATGCAGTATGTTACCTTTTGGCATATTATCTTATCATTTTTAGGTACTATTTTGAGATCTCAGTTTGCTAAAAACACATGTTAAACAAGTCTTAAATTTTTACAAGATAAAGCACAAAGTAATTTGGGTTTGTCCTTTATTATAGTCTGTTTTTCCATTGTTTCTCTTTTTCTACTAGTATATAGTTTCAAAAGTTAACTTTATGCTGAATACAACATTCATTTGAAATAAAATATTATTTTTGCATAGCAATCACATTCTAACTTATTTTTCATTTTTCTTTTTTCTTTTTTTTTTTTTTTTTTTTTTGAGGGTTTTTCTTTTAGGGATCTGCGGCCTTTGAGAGGTTTTTGCTATAGGGCATGTGCGCTCAACAGAAAAACAGAGAGAGACGGAAAGCGAGAAATCATCCCCTGGAGGGATGGCCACGCTGCAATTCCTTCTCCTCCATTCTCCTGTCAGGATCTTGGACACGCACATCCAACGTGAGTTTAAGCCACCAGGTCCAGGACTTGAACCGCAGTCAACTACATGGGAATCCAGTGACATAGCCATTATGCCAACTGCTGGTCCCTCTAACTTAATTTTTAAAAGGGATATTTTTGCCACTCAAATTCTTCTGTTTTGATTTTTGAATTTTCTGTTGGATAAGCCTTCTAAGGTTAAAGTTATATTTTCCTGCACTTATTATAGTAATGCCATTCTTTGTTAAAAACATCCAAGCTTGGGACCAATAGTTGGTATAATGACTGTGTTGCTGGACTCCCATGTAGTCACCCGTGGTTGGAGTCCTGGACCTGGTGGCTTAAACTCATACCGGGCACATGTGCATGCATGCCCAAGATTCCGAGAGGAGAAGGGATTGTGGCATGTCCATCCCCCCTGAGGGTGCATTTTGTCACTTTCTGTCTCTCTGTCTCTCTCCAGCGAATGCACGTGCCCTATAGCAAAAAACTCTCTATAAAAAAAAATCACGCCAGGTGCGTGTGTGTGTGCATGCCCAAAATCCTGAGAGGAGAGTAGAAGAGAAGGGTTTGTAGCATAGCCATCCCCCCATGGGATGACTTCTCACTTTCTCTCTTTCTCCCTCCCCCTCCCACATCCACTGCTGCTGCAGCAATTACAGATGCCCTATGGCACTAATCTTTAAAGAAAAGGACAAAAGATTTAAAAAGCCATTTCTTCAAAGAGAGTGTGAGAGATCTAACAGCTCATGTAAACTGCATATTATGAAAATACTATACACTGGTCCTAAAAAAATTTTTGCACTAAAGTGAACATATGTTAATTCTATAATATTTTCCGTAAACTTTTTGAAGTCTCCACATGTGTCCAGTATATGCTCAACATCATTTAGCCATCAGGGAAATGCAGATCCAAGCTACAATGAGATACCATTTCTCATCCACTAGGATGGCTGAAAAATATGAAAAGACAAACAGTAATTACTATTGATGAGGTCGTAGCATAAATAGAACCCTGATACGTTGTTAGAAAAAAACATAAAATGGTGCAGCAACATTGGAAAACAGTTCATAATTTCTCTAAATGCCAACCGTAGAATTATCCCGTAACTAGCAGTTTCACCCCTAGCTACATACCTAAGAGATAGGAAGACATTGGTACTCAAAACATCCATACAAAGGCGTTCATAACGGCATTGTTCGTAATAGCAAAAAGCAGAAACATCACATCCATGTATTCATAAGCTGGTACGTGTATACATAAGTGTGTTATATTGGGCCAGCCAAGTGGCATAGTGGTTAAGATGTCAGGCTCCGACATGGCTGACTGCGCAGTGAGTCCCAAACTTGGCAACTTAAAAACATGCCAGGCATGTGTGCACGTGACCCCAAACCCCGAGAGAATGGAGGCGGGATTGCCTTTTGACTCTTAAATCTTCTGGAAGATTTTATACTAGGGTAAAAGGACCTGCCCTGTGCCTTTGGACTAAAGTGCTCTCAGATATGTAAATAGCTGGGTTTGCGGAATGTAATGGGGAATAGAGATGAGGCTGGAGTTTAGAAATACCATTATAATGAATCCATAGGAGGTTTTCAGCTGCAAAAAATTGTAATTTTTGTTACTGAAATAAACTATTTCGTAACATTTATTTCCTCAGTTTACAAGGAGGTGTACTAGGTCTTAAGAAAGGTTTTAGGAAATGAAATTGTTACAGGTACGTAAGGATAAGATAGATAAAAACATTTAGCAATTAAACACAGTAAAACAATGGCCTTTGTCCCTTCTGCACTCTTTAAGCCAGGACTTTAAATATAAATCATGGCACAATATATAGGGAAGTGAAAGAAAAACAAACTTTCAAAAAAAGGACTGAGGGACCAGCAGTTAGGGTAATGGCTATGTCGCTAGACTCCCATGTAGTCGACCATGGTTCGAGTCCCAGACCTGGTGACTTAAACTCACGCCAGGCACGTGTGCGTGCGTGGCCAAAATCCCAAGAGGAGAATGAAGGAGAAGGGATTGTGGTGTGACCATCCCCCCTGGGGGGTGATTTCTTGCTTTCTCTCTCTGTCTTTTTGGAGAGCTCATGTGCCCGGTAGCAATAATCTCTGAAGAAAAAAAGACTGTTATTGGGACCTGCAGTTGGTGTAATGGCTATGTCGCTGGACTCCCACGTAGTCAACCACAGTTCAAGTCCCGGACCCGGTGACTTAAACTCACGCCGGGTGCATATACGTGCATGCCCAAGATCCAGAGAGGAGAATGGAGGAGAAGGGATTGTGGTGCAGCTATCCCCCCGGGAGGTGATTTCTTGCATTCTGTCTCTCTCTCTGTCTCTCTGTCTCTGGCGAGTGTACGCTCCCTATAGCCAAAACCTTTTTTTTTTTTTTAATAAAAAAAAGGACTGTTATCATAATCCTATTTCACTCTAAAGAAATGTTTTATATGGGGACCATCAGATGGCATAATGATTAATGGTTATGTTGATGGACTCCCATGTAATCCATCGTAATTCAAGTTCCAGGCATAGAGGCTTTAAACTCTCATTGGGTGTATGTGAGCATGCCCAAAATCCTAAGAGGAGAATGGAGGAGAGGGGATTGCAGCATGGCTATCTTCCCTGGGGAGTGATTTCTCACTTTCTTTCTGTCTCTTCGGCAAGGGCACATACCCTATTGCAAAAGTCTCTAAAAAAAGAAAAAGAAAATCTGTATATGAATATAAAAACATCAAAAAGGGTACAGTTAAATAACTATTGTGGATGGTGAAACTGTTTTTTTTTTCTCTTTGTTTCTAGTTCTGTTTCCTATTCTTTTTATAATGAGTGTACATGACAATTGTAATAAGAAATGTGTTTTTAAGTGAAAAAAATGTAAAAATGTAGAAGGAACAGTAATCCTGAATATAAAATTATAAGTAGCAGAAGAACTTGTTTTATGAAAATAGTTTAATAGAGAAAGCATAAGATTGTCAGTAGTATCAGCATCTCTTTAGTTTCTGATATTTTATGCTTGGTGTTTTTAGATTTCCCTTCAGTTTATTTAGCATGATTTTTATGTGCTTCTTAAAGATGTCTTGGTGACTGAGTAGATTTATTACAAGGTTGGAAATAGATTATTTTTGGTGCTTTGTAAGAATAATTTGATGTTGAACCACATGAAACTGCTTTGTGTGAAAGTTGTCTCTTCACAAACCTCCTACAAATATAGAGTCCTACCTGTATTTGGCATCTTTTCTCAACAGCAGAGAGTGGGTTTTGTTTCTTCTTTCAGTGAGTTAATTGTAAAAGAGAGTTGTATAGAGAACTAGCTGAATCCCTACAATTGTTTTTCCCGTGGGAGATGGTGAAAGAAATTATTATATTTAACCTACAAGCAAAAACAAACAAAATTTATTCTTTACTCCTAGATTAGAAATGATATTTTCCAAATTTGATGAAGTGCAACGTTCAGGTGGTATGATTTTAAGTGTCTGCAAAGGTAAGAGTAATTAAGTTTTCCAGTTCTCAAACATTTATTTCTAAGATTATTTAGGAACGTTTTAGAAACAAAAATGTATTTTCAAGTCAGCTATTATATAGGAAGAATTGATTCTGTGGCTTGAAAATTTATTTGGGATATAATAAAAATCTTTACTTATTCTCTGATTCTTTCGGAATCGAGTGCATATTTAATAATGAGTGAATTATGTAAAATAATATTGTTCTTTTGCTTTATTTTTTGTGTCTTTTGAGTTGAAAATGTAATGACCCTCTTGCACTTAATATTGCATACCTAAAATGTCGTTTTTATATCCAGAACTATTCTTCTACTTGGTTGTTAATAGAAATTGTGGTGTCGATAAGCTGCATTATAATCTGTGTGTGACTGTGGTGATTGATACTGGTGAAAAGACATACACAGGAGCTTTACTGCTATGAGCATCTTTGACCATCTAAGCAGAATTCAGGGAGGTTTGGAATTAATATCTAGCATTTATTTGATTTATGGTCCCTTTCCTTTTTGTAAGGTTAACAAATTATGTTTGGTTTTATCAGGTGGCATTTACCCAGACTTTTTTCCTTTAAATATCAATTAGCTATAAATACAAAGAAGAATATACTATATTTCCAAAGATGATATAGTTGACTTTTTCACTTAGGAAAGTAGCTTCATATTCAAGAGTATGTTTAGCCTAGCAATGTAAATAATGTTGGGGAAAAAAATTGGTGTATGAATTTATGGTCAAATACTAGGAAAACGAGTTACTCACATAATTGTTTTCTTTCTCTATGTTAAATCAAGACTGAAATTTGTTGTGTGTGGGAAGTCAGATGAAGTGAGAGTTTAGTGTTTTAACGATTGTGTATACCCTAATCTAATTTTAGTGCCAGAAGCATTAATCAACTTTGGTGTTACCATTCCTCACTGTGACTGTTAGCTGTTTCTCACTTCTCTTCTCTGAATAGAAGGTGTTTTAAATACCTTGTCCTTATTTTTCTAGCAGTTACCTTTGTCCATTTTTGTAGAAACCAGACACAGCAGGAAGAGGGCAAGTTGTTGAAATTCCTTGGACTGAGATTTGCATGTTTCATTAAATTGCATTTGTGTATTCCAGACTATTGAGTTGCAATTCTAAGAGAAAAAGTGTAATACATGCTATAAAATTTAAGGTATTTATTGTTTGGATATGATTTATTTTGAAGGTAGTGTTGTTATATTTTATCAGGTTATTTCCTTACCTGCAAAATAGAAGCTTTTTGTGGTTACCTGTTCTTTCAGTTTCCTTTTCTTTTTCTCTTGTTTCTCTCTCCATAAATGGGGAAGTTTGGGGGTTAGTATCTGGCATTCATTTTTCTTGGAGGGAATCTTTAGAGATTGTTTATATTGAAGATGATCAGAATATTTCAAGTATGGGCAAATGTGAAAGTTAGTCTATTTTTTTAATATATATATATATATA